ATATGAAAATGACTAACTCCCACTAAACCACAAATTCCTCAAATTGTAAAACACCCATGTGAGCAACATGCTCATGAAAGATCTTGGGCAGAAGTCCTTTAGTTAGAGGATCTGCTATCATGGAGGTTGTCCCTAAGTGTTCTATGGGAATCTGTCTACTTTGACTCTTTCCTTAACAATACAACTGATTTGTTATCACAATATAACTTAAGTGGTCTTTCAATGTCTTTCACAATTTGTAGTCCTGTGACAAAATTTCTTAGCCATATTCCATGATTTGATGTCTCATAACATGCTACAAATTCTTGACATCCTGCAAAGTCTGAGTCAGAAAACCTAGCGATCTCCAATTGGTCTGACCTCCTGTATGTGAACATATAATATTTTGTTCTCTTTAAATATCTTATGACCATTTTTTGCTGCTTTCCAATGATCCATTCTTGGATTTCTTAAATATCTCCCTAGAACCCTAACTATGTATGCTATGTCGGAACGCATAGATTCTTGGGCATACATCAAACTCCCTACAGATGATGCATAGGAAATCTTTTGCATTTCCTTAATTTCTGCAAAGTTATTGGCTCATGATGCACAAGTTCTTGAGGATCTTGAGTTTGTTTTTGATGGACAACTAAATCATCTTAAGTATAAGGTTCATCATTAATGTCTTGTGGAGGTTCTGAACTTACTTTATAAAAAATAACTGTTTGAATCAATTTTAGAATTGTTACTGATTCTTCCTCCAAGATAAAGTTTTTAATCTTATTCTTCCCCCCAAACTCAATATCCTCAAAGAACGTAGTAGTTCCCGTCTCAAAAATTGTCTTTAATGTGGGATTGTCGCCGCCGTCCCGAAAGGGGGATGGTCGGTCAGAGCGACGCGATGGTTTTTCGACCCTCTTTTTCGCGTTTTTTATTGGTGGTTACAACGTCCTTAGGTTGTCCGATAACCGGGCTAACCTAGAGACGAGGTTTTCGAAAAGTGTCCTTGAGTTGCCCGATAACTGGGCTAACCCAAGGACTTATTTGGGTTCTATGGAGTCGCCACCGATGTTTTTACCGAAAACATCGGAAAAGGGGTTTAAAAGGCGTTGGTTTTCGAAAACCAACTTTGGTCATTAGAACCAGAGTTGGGTAAGGGAGTTGGTTACGTGTAAAGGGAGTATTAGTCCCCTTACGACGCCCCTTTCGGGTTCCCTATGACAGGCCGGCTTATTTTATTGATAAACTAGAAAAATACACTTTCGCCCTTTTTATTCTGCGGAATTTAAAAGTATGACTACATGGCCCTATTATCTATTGCATAATTTAAGATGAAGACAGTAAAGGTGAAGGGAGAGAATTTGAACCTCCGAAGCGCGCTTTATATTAACTCTAAAAAAATAGGGTGCTTTGTGGCAGCCCTTCACTCTACAAGGCGTCGGAAAACCTCTCGAACGCCGAAAAATCACTCTTGAAAGCACTCAGAAACTCCGGAAATGCGTCGGAGGGATTCTAGAGAGAAGTTTTAGAGAGAAGGGAGAGCTATGCAGCTGTGGTATGTGGAAATGAGGGGGGGAGAGCCCCTATTTATAGGTTTTCGCGCTGTCAGGTGGCGAGACCGCCGGTCTCGTCTGACAGGGTCGAGACCGCCGTCTCGTGCAACGAGACCGCCGTCTCGTCCTGTCAAAACAACGAGACCGCCGTCTGGTTACACGAGACCGCCGTCTCGTCTTTCGTAAGTGACGAGACCGCCGTCTCGTTTAGCGAGACGGCGGTCTCGGCTCCTACGCGAGGCGAAACGGCGGTCTGGGTTGCCCAGAACGCGGTCTCGTCCCTTCAAAGCGAGAAAACTTATTTTTTGGTACAGAAACTCCCTCCTACCCTAGTATGGGGCCTAATAGTCTCTCCTAATGGCTTGTTAGGCTTGTCCATCTTCAAATAGGAGGTCTTCTGGTCTTTATTTGGAGGCCGGGCAAGATTTGGGGTCTACAGGGATCATAAAATTTATATCCCCTGGATCTTTTAGAATAACCAATGAAGTAACTACTTACTGTTTGGGAGTCCAATTTCTTTTCATTTGACTTATAAGGCCTTGTCTCAGCTGGATAACCCCATACATGAAAATATTTCAGACTAGGCTTTTGCCTAGTCCAAAGCTCATAAGGTGTTTTAGTAGCTGCTTTAGTTAGTACTCTGACCTGAGCGCTTGTGCCATAATGTACCTGAGTGAGTATTGTTAATTTTATGTTTAGTACCACGAGATTCTGTATTAAGAATTTCATTATAGGTGACCACACTATCAAGTAAATATAGATTATCATGAGCCAAAAGTGAACCAATTCTAACAATACCTAAATTAAAAGACAAACTGAACTTATTGTTTCCAAATGAATACAAATAACCTAATTTGTCCAAATAAGAAACTGAAACCAAATTCCGTCTAAAAGAAGGTACGAAAAAAGTGTCTTTTAAAGAAAAAATAAAAAACCAGTACACAATAATAATCTAAAATGTCCAATAGTCTCCATCTCCACCGATTTGCCATCTCCAACGTATATCCATCTTTCAGAATCAGTTGGCTTCCAATAGTTTAGGCAACCCTTCATAGAAACTCTGATGTTAATAGTTGCACCTGAGTCTAACCTCCTAGTGTTAATAGGTACTGACACTAAATTAAGTTCAGAATAGACCAAAGTAAGAAACATACATTTCTTTTCACGCCAAGCATGATATTTAGCACATTTCTTCTTTACGTGTCCAGTCTTATTGCAAAAGAAACATTTGTTTTCTTGAGTTTGTTTCTTTTGTTCTGGACCCTTAGCAACTTCTTTCTTGAGATCCTCTAATATCTTTCTTTTGCCCTTAGCCTTGGAGGTGCTTGCAAAATGAACACTTTCTGTCTTGTCTTACTTTAGTCTTTCCTCTTCTTGTATGCAATGTGAAATGAGCTCATTAAGAGACCATTTATCCTTCTGACAGTTGTAAGATATCTTAAACTGATTAAATGTTGTGGGAAGAGAAATCAACACCAAATGAATGACCAAGTCTTCTGAGAGTTCAAACTTTAGTGCCTTGAGTTTAAAAATAATATTATACATGCTCATAATGTACTCCCTGATATTTCCTTTGCCCTGATATTTCATGGAGATCAAGTTCTGCAGAAGAGTGTTTGCCTCTGCCTTATCACTTTTTGTAAAGTGCTGCTCAATTTTAGTAAGGAATTCTTTGGCACTTGTGATGTTTTCAGAAACAGTGCCCCTAAACACATCCGAGATGCCGCGCTTAATGATCATTCGACTCATGCTATTTGAGCGATCCCACTTCTCATAATCTCTTTTCTGTTCAGAGGTACTTGAATCCGTAGGAGTAGGGGGTTGCTGAGTCCTTAACACAAGATCCATATCCATGCAGCCAAGAATAATATCAATGTTCTCTTTCCAATCCTTAAAATTTGTTCCATTGAGGATCAAAATAGAATTTAAATTGGCAGATACAGAAACAATTGTAACTGAATTAAGAACAAAAGAAACAAACTAATTATTTTCACATTATAAAAATAAATAATTATAAATATTCAAATAATGGTTTAACTCATCTCAAGACACCCAATGCACTATCAATATCAAGTCTTTGGACAATAATATTAACTGCTAGGGGTATCTTGTTATAATGATCAAACATTGACAATAAATCACGTTCAACAACAAACCAGTCTTTGGATTGATTTATCATCGACAAAGAAAATCCTTATAATTATCACATATTTATCATTACAAGTGTGTATGCAATTCGGCCAAATATTAATCTTCCTTTGAGCCGACTAATATTCGGATGAATATACACAAACACTAACATTCAATATTTTTCACGAACTACCCAATTCAAGAGAGGTTACTTTGGTGACTTCTTGACTCAATTTGCTCACAAAAATATTAAACTACAAAAAATTGAATATTTTATTTATATAAAAAACCAAATTTATATAATTATTTATTTATTAAAAAAAATAATTATAATGACGCGAGAGAGCACCACTGCCATTCGTAAAACAAGAATTTTTCAACTAAACCAAACCACCTGAATATGACAATTCATGCTTCGGTATCAAATAAAAGGAAAATTTGATAAAAGGAAGATTCGATAAAGTAGATTTAGTAAGCAAATCAATGTTTAATTATTCATTTATTTATGCAAATGGGTGCCAGAGAATCTCCATCATTTCGCCAATGGGGTCCACTTCTAAAAGAATCTCCACCATGCTTACCTTAAAATAATATCCTTCAAATTAATGCAACCAGCTAAATCAGACAATTAAGAGCTATAATTGAAAGAAATCAAACGGGATAATCCTAATTGCTCAACGAATTGAAACTTCCCCAAAGAAATTCAGCAAAACATCAAAAGCCCCAATTTGAGAAAACCCTAACCTAGATCTTTACAAATCCAACGAGAACGATGGATAAGTATTACGATTCGAATAAAATCAAATTACACGATGTGAGATCTAACAACCCAAACCAAGTTTTAGAAGGATCAGACCCAAATGCCACAAACCCAGAATGTCAAGAGCAGCAAGCAAAGAGAAAACAGAGAATTCAAAGCGTGGACGCAAACTCCTTCGAATACAGAGGAAGACCTTATTCTCTGACTAATTTCCAAATCACAGGAGGTGCATGTGCAGAAGGGGAAAAGGAATCGCAGCATAGGAGAAGCAACCCCTACGACCACTGTCTGGTCCTTCACCACCTCTCTTTTACCTTGAACCGCGAGACCTAACCCGACCACCATGGCCTTAGTTGTGCTTCCCCAATCACCACTGCAAATCATCCTCACCATGCTTCTAAACCCAGCTATTCCCTTTCTCAGCCTTACCAGAGCCGCGTCGCGTGACTTCCTTCAATTCTACTTTTGCCCGCTACGAAGACGACACGATTACCAGCTTCGACAGCGCCTCGATCAACTCCGAGTCTGCACCGGCGCTGGAGCTTCCTCTGCTGCCTAGATAGGTTTCATGGCCCATGCTTAACCGGCTCCACAACGCCGTGAATCTCCTCCCGGTCTTAGTCGGTGCCGCTTCTTTGCTGGAGAAGGTTTTTGGAGCTCCAAAATTAAACCCACCATCCTCCGTCCCCTCACGGACCAACAACTTTCTCTTCTCTAGCAAGGAGGACGCCGACAATCGGAGGATCACGGAGGTGCTTTCACAGAGTGGCAGAAATCCCTTTCGGCGACAGTGGGCGAGAGAGATGAGACTCGTTACTGAGATAGGGGACTCAAATAAAGGAGATCCCGCTGAATTGGGTTTTAAGAAACCCTAGTATTCTCAATTTTGGGGTTCTTCTTTTTAATTAGGGATTAAGGGTTCTGTAAATTAATTAGAATCTGAATTGTTCAATTTAATTTACAAAGACTAACATGAATCAAGAATGGGTTGTTCTGATACCAATTGTTAGTAATTCATTATTATGATGTTGATTTTAACGATCAAACATAAACATAATCCCATACTCATAAATATGTTGTAAACTGAATGTGAAAGTGTGTCTGAATTAGCCATAATGATGATATCCTTGTAGAGCACTATTGATCTTATGGTCTTGTATCTGAAGAGCACTTGTATTTCCCTTTGGATTTTCTCTCTTGATGGGGATAGAAAGAAAATAACGGGACTGAGACTTACGTTCTGTGTGTGTGCTCCCAGAAGGGGACCATGACCCTTTAAATAACCAGAATTAGGTTAATTACTTAAGTTTTAGTATTTCCAATTTGACCCCTCATCAAATTAGAAATTTTTATATAGTCTCTACACAATTTTATTTTCATGACATATGTCTTTAGCCAAACTTTTTTAATTTAGTCAGATCACTTTATTATTTGGCTTAATAAATAATGACCCTAACACATTTAAATTACATGACCTAATATTTGCCAACATCTTATCATAAACTCTTTAACTCTTAATGAATAAACTATATGTTTATTCAATAACAATTAAATGAGTTTCAAAAAACAAAAAAACTCTGAATAAAATAAATGAGAAAATTTTAAACTAATAAGAGTTTTAAAATAAAAGTATTTATACTTATCACACCATTGAACCAAGATTTTCTAATAATAAGTATTATCTTTCATATATCACAATATACTAAATATCTTATCATAAACTCTTCATCTCTTAATAGATAAACTATATGTTTATTATGTCACAATTAAATGAGTTTAACAAAAAAAATGTGAACAAAATAAATGAAAAAAAATTAAATTAAATAAGAGTTTTAAAATAAAGGTATTTACACTTGTTACACCATTGAACCAAGTTTCATGTGTGTTACATGATCCTTAAAATTCGTTGGGGACATGTCTTTAGTTAAAATATTGATAATCATCAACATACTAATGTGTTTAATAACCATTTTAATTTTTTTTAACATGTTCTCTTATTACTAGATATTTAATGTGAACATTTTTATTTCAACTTTCATTCTTATTATTCATAGTCATAAATATTGAAACAAATTTTTCATAATACAACTTCAATGGCATAGTAATTGAGTCCACAATTCTAAGCCGGTTTATGGCCAATTGTTGTACCAAAGATGTTAGCTCGTTCAATGTTCTTTCAAAGTTCATATCCTCAAAATAACTTGTTTATTGGAACGACAATGATAGATCGTGAACAAGTACACCAAGTAGGTTCCCAGAAAAGAGAGATGAGTCACTAATGGACACACTTAAGTACCAATTTTTTCCTAGCCAGAACTCTCCTAGACATGCACTTTCACACTACCAAGCTATATCCAGAGTTTCCTATGAGAATGGTTTTCAAGAATTTTCTTGCAAGGATGACTTATCCAGAATTTCCTGCGAGAAGGGTTAGGGAGCACAAACAATTTTTTTTAGTAAAGCTAGAAAAAGTAAATTAGAAAAAAGAAGATATAAAACTATTTAACCATATACTATATGAGGTGGCCTCAAAACAAGAGACACACTTCGTCTCCATAGTGAAAGTAGCATCCAAGATTCGTTTTCTACTGCTTCGAGACATAACTCCATAAGTTAATGTAAACATTTAGCCATAAACTTTGTTATATCAATGTAGCTAGCAAAGCTTGAATCAAAGTAGCCTATCACTTTCAAATTATTGTTTGTTTATGAATATGAAATTTTTTGGTCTATAATGATATCTCATTATCTTCTTTGCAATTTTCCAATGATTAACACCGGGATTACTCTAATATCTTCCTAAAATTTTAACTACAAATGCAATGTTAGGTCTAATGCAAACCTGATCATTCATAAGACTTCCAACTGCTGAAACATATGGAATATTCTTCATGTGGTCCCATTCAAAATTATTTTTTGGCCATTGACTTAATTCAAGTTTACCACCCTTCACAAATGGAGCCACACTTGGTGAACAACCCTTCATGTTAAATCTCTCTAGAACTTTGTTGATATATGTCTCTTGGGATAAAATTGAAATACCTCGAGATCTTTTTCTATGGATATTAATGCTTATGACATAAGGTGTCTCTCCCATATCCTTCATATTAAAGATCTTTGAGAGAAATATTTCCACCTCATATCATATATCTTTGTCATTTGTCATATGTAAAACATTATCCAAGTATAAAACAAGAAAACAAATTTTACTCCCACTAACTTTTTGGTATATACATTAATCCATAATGTTCTCTTCAAAATCAAATGAAGATATAACTTCACAAAACTTTAAATACCATTATTTTAATCAATATAAGATTTATTAAGCTTATAAACTAAATGCTGACTATTATTATAAAAGAATATTTCAAGTTGTTTTATGTAAATCTCTTCTTCTAGATTACCACTGAGTGATTTAGTTTTCACCATATGTTTAACTCAGTTAAAATGAGTTACTAATGTCATTATTACTCGAAGAGAATATTTCTTAGACATAAGAGAAAATGTCTCCTTATAGTCTACTCCATCTCTATGAGGGAACTCATTGACAACAAATCTTGTTTTATGTCTCTTAATGTTACCTTGTAAGTCTTTTAGTTTTAAATAACCATCTACATCCAATGGATTTTACACCATTTTGTAATTCAACATGATCCAAAGCTTGATTAGACGCTATAAAATTCATCTCATCTTTTATAACATCACACCACTAATCTAATTCCTTAGAACTCGTGACTTGTGAAAATGTTTCAGGATAATTTTCGGTTCCAATATTATAATTCGATTATTGTAAATACACTTCATAATAACTAGAAATTGTCAATCTTTTGATTTTATAAGTGTTGAGAATTCAAGTGTAAGTTGAAATCCCACATTGGGTAGAAATGATAAAGTTATGTAACTTATAAGTGAGAAATACTTATAATCTACTGCTTTAAGGTTTTGGGTTGAAGGCGATATTATATTCTCTTATATGGTTGACTCATGACCCATTAGTGAGAATCTCCCTATTGTTAGCCCTCCTCGAAAATACCTAACAATAAGATCTTCTTAATGTTGCTTTATTGTCTTGATAAGGAACTTGTTGTTCAATCACTTGCTCAAAAGATTGTTTAGCATTTACTTGTTATTCCTCTTGCACTATTTTGAACTAAAGGGGTATGGATGATTAATCATGTATCATTTAATTGAAAGGATTGAACTTCACAACAATATTTTTCAAAATTAAAATTTTGAATTAAATCACTTTCACTAAGTTATTTTTAAGAACTTAGCATTTCTTGATTTCATAATTCTAGTGCTATGTGTAACATCTCATAATTGATTATGTATTTTTTTTTCAAATACAATGTATTAAATAATATTTTGATATATATATAAATAATCATAGTTTAAATTATTATTAAATATATATATATATATATTATTTAAATTTTTAGTAAGTATAGGAAATCATAAAAAAAAAATCAAAGAAGAGATAAGATTCCAAAACATTAATTGAAGGAAAAAATGATGGCTATAAATGGGAAGGGGAGGGATTACGTATGAAAAAAAAAATTGAAGGAGAAGAAAGGGGAAAAGAGGAGAGAGAGAGGGAGAAATAAAAATAATTTTAAAGGAAAAGTTTTATACAACATGTTCGATTATTAAGGTAGAGGAATGAGACATTTATCAATATTCTTCTTCATTTTTAATTATGGTTGTGGAGTAAGGTGTTCCTAACCTCATTATATTTATTCTTTATATTTTATTTACCTCCAGTTACGTACCGGTCATACTTTATATTTATTTATTTATCTTCAGTCTTGTACTGGTTCTAATTTAATTATCTCCAGTTACGTATTGGTCCTGCTTTATGCTTGTTTATTTTATCTCCATTTACGCATTGGTCTTATTTATTTATGTCTAGTTACATACTGATCATATTCGTTTATTTTATTTTATCTCTAGTCTTGCAATGGTCCTATTTTAATTATCTCTAGTTATGTACTGGTCATGTTTGTTTATTTTATTTTATCTCTAGTTATGTATAGTCCTGTTTGTTTATTTTATTTTATCTCCAGTTATGAGCTGACCCTATTTATTAATTTATATTTATATTATTATTTTAAATAATAATATCTATTTATGAAGATTTGATGATATTGTAGATGGAGGTTGGACCTTGGGGATTGAGATGAGTAAATATCAGTGAGAGAGTGATTAAAATTGAACTCATTTATCCTGATTAGTCACTACAAATTTAATTTAAATCTTCATAAATGAAATAAGTTGAGCAAGTTAAAAAATATATTTTATATATCATTATAAGATAATATTATTTTAAATGATAATTGTTCTCATTTCCTTATTGTTATTTCTTGTGCATGTTACAACTAAAATATCAACATAAATAGATGGAAGCATCAAGATGAAAGACACGTATCATTCAACTACTGTTAGAAGAAACTTTTTGTCAATTATAATAATTGTTTCTGATATAAAAATAATGTAAACTTGTAAAACTCACATCTTTGTACATATAAATGTATAAACATTTATCTCATATCTTATTTTTGTCAAGACTTAATAGAAAGTAGAAATCTCTTAACAACGTGATAAAGAAAAAAAAGGGACGCCACATTAGATGGTATCAGAGCAACGTTTCATGTGTGACTTGTGAAATGAGCCTATCATGATATCTTATGATCTTAACTTATATAATTCCAGATGACAAATAATAGGAGGAACAACGAGTTGATAGAAGCAGTACAAGTTATTCGAGACATGACCGCTGTATTGTTAAGTAATCAAAGACCTAAAGGAACCAATGGATCACAAGGTTTAGTTGAATTTAGGAGAAACAAACCTCCTCAATTTTCTGGAGGTTATAACC